CCTCATTCAGAATTCCACCGGAAGCTCCAGCGGCTGCGCGCGCATCGCGCCACCCCGTCCCATCTCGGCATACCTCGCACGTCCCGTGGCCCCGTAGGGATTTCCACCGAAGGTCCCCTCGGCTGCGTTCGCATGGGGTCCCGCCACGTTCTGCAGCGCATTCATCATGATCTCCGCGTAAGCGAATTGAGTAGCGAGAGTGCGCGCGTGAGTGTGTGTGTGTGTGTTTTTTTCTGGCGAAGTCAGGGGTATTACAGATCCCTCTCTTGTGTATCGAGCGCTCCTGTTGGTGGTCGCCGCACCTTTGGATAGGGTTGGGATGTTACGCCTTGGCAGTTGGGCCCTCGTGTTGAATTCGCAGCACCGCGCTCCATTGTCTCCCGCGGCCGCCTCTCTCGCTATTACTCCTCCACTGCCTCCGCTGCCCGCATGTGCTCCCCGCGCCCATGCCAGCACACCCCTCACACGCCTCGTGGCCCCAACAGGGGCCTCCGCCGCACGCCGCCGCAGCGGCAGAGCCCCGCGTGGCGGCGCCGCACCCATTTCAGCACCCCCCCCCCCCCACGCGCTTCGTGGCCCCAGGGGGAGCTCCACCGAACGCCCCAGAGGCAGGGTCCTCGCAGCGGCACCCCGCTCGCTCCGGCGGCACGCCGCTCACGCCGCTCCGGTGGCCCCATCTGGGAGGCCCACGGACCGCCCCAGCGGCAGGGCCCGCCTGCCGGGCACTTCCTGCGCATCCCTCGCGTCTCCCAGTGTGGAGCTCCACCGGATGCCCCAGCGGCAGGGTCCGCCTGGCGGCGCCGCGCCGCTTACACACTCCTCGTGGCCCCACGCGGAGCTCCACCGCACGCCGCAGCGGCAGGGTCCGCACGGCAGTACCGCACCCATGTTCGCACATTCCTCGCACGCTCCGTGGCCCCACAGGGAGCTCCACCGAACGCCCCAGCGGCATGGCTCGACCGATGGCCCCAGCAGCAGGATCCGCATGCGCCACCGCGCCAAGCTGACCACGCCTCCCACACTCGTTTGTGGCCCCATGGCGAGCTCCGTCTGCGGTTTCAGCGGGCGCGACTGCATGGTTGCACTGCGTCAATTTCGGCGCACCCCTCACACGTTTCGTGGCCCCATGGATAGCTCCACCCACGGACCCAGCGGACGTGACCGCATGGCGGCGCCGCCAACACTTCGGCACACCTGTCACGCTCGCTGTTCGTGGCCCCGTACGGAGGTCCACCTGAGGTATCAGTGAATGGGTGCAAGCAACCGCAAGGCGGCACCGCGCCAATTTCGGCACACCCCTCACACGTTCCGTGGGCCTGACAGGATTTCCTCTCTACGATTTGAATGGGCGCGACAGCATGGCGGCACCGCGCCCATTTCAGCACGCCCATCGCGCGGTCTGTGGTCCAAGAAGAGGGCCATTTGCGGTCTCAGTGTCCGCGAACAGATGGCGTCACCGCGCCCACTTCGGCACGCCCTTCGCAACCGTGGCTTTTCGGCAGACCCCAGAAAGAAGATTCGGCATCAGAATTTAGGTGCTCAGCGTTGGGCCTTGCGACGAGATATGTTTTTTTCGCCGCGCGTGGCGTTGTGCGATTGCAGCGTAGAGCGATGCGCGCGAGGTGTTCTCTGGCCCTCGTCTTCCTCCCAAATCCGCAGAACAGCCGGAGAGGTCTCACGGTCTTCGTCAGCAGCAGCCGTGCTGCACGGCCCGTCGGACAGCGACAGCGCTGGGGGGGACGACTCGGACTCGGACGACCGGACCAGTACCGATGGGGAACCGTTGAGGCCATACGGCGGAGGAGAGGAAGGAGGAAGAAAGGAGGAGGGTGTTTGGAGAGGGTGGAGGAGATCGGGAAGTACCAGGAGCGAAGAATGGAGGAAGAAAAGGGAAAGGAAACCGAATGATCTAATGTTGATGATGATGGTGGTGGTGATGATGATGATGACGGTGGTGGTGATGATGATGATGGTGATGGTGATGGTGATGGTGATGGTGATGGTGATGATGATGATGGTGGTGGTGATGATGGTGATGGTGATGATGATGAGGAGGATGATGATGATGATGATGATGATGATGAGTATGATGGTGATGATGGTGATGATGATAATGATGATGATGATGATGATGATGCTTTTGATGATGGTGATGGTGATAGTGATGGCCATTATGAAGATGATGATGATGATGATGATGATGATGATGATGATGATGATGATGATGATGATGATGATGGTGATGGTGATGGTGATGGTGATGGTGATGGTGGTGGTGATGATGGTGATGATGGCGATGGTGCTGACGATGACGATGACGGTGACGACGACGACGACGACGACGGCGGCGACGACGACCGCGAGCAGGAGGAGGAGGAGGAGGAGGAGGAGGAGGAGGAGGAGGAGGAGGAGGATGGTGATGATAATGGCAATGCTGCCCATGCTCATATTGATGATGGTGATGAGAGTGATGATGACGGTGATTGTGATGATGATGTGGATGATGTTGATGATGATGGTCAAGATGATGATGGCGTTGATGATGGTGATGATGATGAGGATGATGATGACGATGATGGGCATGACGATGTTGATGATGATGATGATGATGTTGATGATGATGATGATGATGATCGTAGTGGTGCTGTTGATGAGGATCATGATGCTGTTGACGATGATTCCGATGATAAAGGTGAAGACATACGGCGAGGACGATGATGGTGGTGATGATGATGGTGATGGTGATGGTGATGACGACGATAACGATGATGACGACGATGATGATGATGATGGTGATGATGACAATGATGGTGATGGTGGTGACTGTCATGCTCATGCTCATGGTCATGGTCATGGTCAGAATGATGACGAGGACAGTGACGATGACGATGACGATGGTGGTGACGAGGACGACGACGACGATGACGACGATGATGGTGATGATGATGACGATGATCACCATGCTGACCATGCTAATAGTGATGATGGTGATGAGTAGGATGATGACGGTGATGGTGGTGATGACGATGATGATGATGATGATGATGATCATCATCATCATCATCATGATGATGATGATGATGTGGATGACGGTGATTATGATGATGATGGTGAGGATGATCATGACGATGACGATGATGGTGATGATGAGGTTGATGATGTTGAGCATGATGATGATGGTGATGACCATAGTGGTGCTGGTGATGAGGATGATAATGCTGCTGGTGATGATGACGATGATGATTCCGATGATGAAGTCGAGGACTACGGCGAGAATGATGAAGGTGATGATGATGATGATAATGATGATGATGATGATGATGATGACGATGATTATGATGATGATAATGATGATGATGATGATGATGATGATGATGATGATGATGATGATGATGATGATGATGGTGGCGATGATGATGCTGATGATGATGGTGATGATCGGGACCGAGCTCGGATCGAGCGCCGCGCGCGTCGAATGAGCGGAGCGAGCGAGGAGGCGGCCCAACGACCCAGACGAGCATCGCGGCCAGGGCGTCCTCTCCGCGCCTCAGTGGAGGCGCCAACAAACATGACAGACGATCGCGAACAAATCACGCGAGCAATAGCCATGCCAGAGCCTCGTCACCAACGACGAGGGCACGATGGACAGGAATCATAACACTAGCGTCGTCGGGGCGACACCCCACAAAAACGGTTCAAACGATCACGCTTGTTGCGCTCTCGACGGAGCTGGGTTGGATCGCAAGGCGCAGCAGGCCTCCGCGAACCGCGCCCCGCGCATAGGATCCGCACGCCGTGCACGTCGGGAACTCGCCTGCGTCCCCGAGCCTATGCCCCCTGCACACCTCAGGCGGCACGAGCCAGACTCGCGGAGAGGCGCAGTATGTGGGGTTTCCCCATTCGGCCCAGGCTGGCCCCCCCGAGCCCTCTTGGGACGGGGCGCTGCACTCCCCGATGGGCCCGCAGGCCTGGACCGCGGCCGACTGGGCGCGAGAGTTCCCGGGAACCCGGCAACCACAGGCGGCTGGGAATCCAGCCGGAACCCCCGCAGGGGCCTCCAGCGCGAGAGCTCCAGGGTGCGATCCCGCCGACCCCGAAGACGCAGAGGTACGAGGCCGCACGGCCCAAGCTGGAAGAACAGAGGCAGGCCGCCTCTGACCGCGCGACGGCGCGGGAGCTCCAGGGAAATCCGCGCTGGCCCCACACGAGCCAGGATCCGTCGCTGGAGCTCCAGAAGCGGATTCAGCCGACGGTTCGGACAACGAGGAAGACACAGAAGCCGCCAGCGCCGCTCCAGTCATCAGCGCTGCGGCAGCTACCATCGCCTGGGGGGCGGTGGAAGTGGCCAGACTGCATTCCGAAGGCTCAATGTCCTCAGCGAAACGCACTCGCTTGCGAGGAGGCCCCTGGACAGCCTGGGACGGAGAAAAAACGACTGGGGCACCCTCCCCCGCGCCTGGGGCCGCCGAAAATGGGCTCGACGTGCTGGCATCCTCCAGTCTGTGTGAGCGCCAGAGTTCCTTATGCAGCCCCTGTGGCTCGCTGGGGCCCCGCTCGCGAGGGCCCGCACGAGCCCGCAGGGCGTGCCTAAGGTAATGCTTGGTTTCCTGAGGGCCAGTTTCCGCCTCCAGGAACCCCTGGGGACCAAAAACAAGGAGGTGTTTTGGGGCCGCTCCGGGGGCTGCTGGCGCGGCCGCTGGGCGCGGAGGGGGAGGAGGAGGAAGCTCAGAGGTCCGCTCGACCACATCACCCTGGGCCGCCTGGGCCCTCGCCTTGAGCTCCCTCCCCCTGCACGTCTTGCGGAGCATGCGCGCGCCACCAGCCAGCGCGCGAGCTTTCCTGCCGCACCATGCGCAATGCCACCACGAGGCAGCGAAAAACGGGACATGAGCAGAGGCTGCCATCACGCATGGCTGACCCGGCGTGGCCCCCACTGGCGCGTCCGCCGCCCTCGTGCACGCGGCGGCCGCGGATCGCGATCCGGCGCCAAGGCCTCCGACATCAGGCCGTCGTGCACCGCTGCCACCCAGCAGACCGTCTGACGAAGGCGTCGAAGAAGAAGCTTGGACTCCACCTTACGCTGGTCCGTGAAGCAGTGGAGCCCCGATCCCAAGCGAGCGAGCACGTCCGCCCAGTCGTTGCCATGCCGATGCTGGTCGTTGCCGTGCTGGCGCAAACGGACGTGAACGATGCGCACGTCCGAGGAGAGGCCGCCGTGGTCATTCAACTTGGCCCACAGCTGCACCCACAGATCGGCATTCGAGCGCCCGGGGCAGGGCGCCCACGCGCGCCCACGCGCCAGGCCGAGGATAACCTCCAGGTGATCCGCGTGGATGCGGAAAGGCGGAATGGCCACCAGCAGAACCTGAACGACCGCCCAAGTTCGGCCCTTGGCGAAGATTGGACTGGTCCGGGCAGCGCGCCGTAGTAGCCGCTGACGGCCTGGAAGTTCTCGAGGATGACGAAGCCCCAGACCGCTCTCGCAGCCTGCGGGCGGCTCCAATGCTTCAGGCAAGAGCGTCGGCGTAGACGAGGCCTGTGACGATGAAGCCCGGGGCGGCGAGCAGCGCGTGCCAGCAGCCGCTGTCGTCGCGGGGAGGGAGACTGGGTAGCGAGGGCAGCGGAACCAGCAGGCGCGCCCAGCGCGGGTCGTTCTGCATGATGCGTGGCAGTCCGTCGAGCAGGGCCCCGTCCAAGGCCGACTCCCGCTCGGGCTGGCACGACTCGCATGTGCCAGGCGCGGACCAGCATCGTCGACGTAGCCCGTCGGCCGCGTAGCCGCACATGTGCAGCCTAGCCTGGGACCTGGTGGCACCCGCGACGAGAGACCGCACGGCGCCGGCGCCAGATTCTGAGAGCCTCCAGCGGGCGGTGGGCTTGTGCAACATCGCTGCCAGCTGCTCCAGCCAGCACCCTTGCGGTTGCCAGCACACGGGGCCCAGCTCGGGCGCGGAGTCGGGCGTGGTAGGCCAGCGCCGCCACATGGCGCGCACGGCGGACTGCCTCGCCAGCTGCTGGACTGTGGAAGGGGCCGCAAAGCGTAGGTCCAACACGTCGCCCTCGTCCGTGCGCCAGGCGAAGGCGAAGGACGCGACCCAATACGGGTCTCCCAGTGCCAGGCATACCGCGCCGGCAGGGCCCATGACCCTGCGCCAGGGGCTGGGGGCAACAAAAAAGACAGAGGGGGCATGGCGCTGTCACTCTCGCTGCATGTTCGAATTGTCCATCGTCGGATCCATGATGATGGTGACGATGATGATGACGATGATGATGGCGATGATGATGATGCTGATGATGATGATGATGATGATGATGATGATGATGATGATGATGATGATGATGATGATGATGATGATGATGATGATGATGATGATGATGATGATGATGGTGCTGGTGCTGGTGCTGGTGCTGGTCATGGTCATGGTCATGGTCATGGTCATGGTGATGGTGTTGCCGGCATGATGGAGATGACAGCGACGACGACAATTCTGGTGATGATGGGTATGTTGATCGTGTTGATAATGTTAATAATGTTGATTATCAAGGTTGTGACGATGATGGTGGTGAGAAGAATGCGGGTGAGGATAATGATGATGGGTATGTTGATGATGACGACGACGACGATGAGGAGTAAACGAATGAGCAAGAGGACGAGGGAGGAGGAGGAGAATGAGAACGACGAGGAGGAGGAGGAGGAGGAGGATGAGGAGGGACGTCGGAGAAGAGATCGGAGGGAGGGATTGAGGAGGAGCAGGAGGGATAGGAGCGGGAAGGAACCGGACGAGGCAGGAGCAGGGTGGACGCAGGAAGTCGTATCAAAGGAAGTGTGACGTGAGGAGGGGGAGGGGCGCAGTTTAGGAGGTGGTGGAGGCAGGGAGGGAGGGAGGGGAAACGGAGGGAGAGGGAGGAGGGTGAAGGAGGTGAAGGAGGAGGACAAGGATAGGAAGTCGAGGGTGGACGGAGGAGGGGGAGCAGGAGTATCAAGATGGTCAGGTCTGGCTGGAAAATGACAAGTTTCAGGATACCTCACGAATCGCGAATGACGTCGTTGCAGCTGGAAATGCGGGAAATGGCAGCGGAGGTCGCGGATTATGTGATACCGAAAACATTTTTGCAGAAGATATTGCTGGATGTCCTGAACAGCATGGCGTTCACGCTGCTAGTGTACTTCGTCATCACATTCAACTGCGTATTCGTAGGCATGCGATATCATTGCGATGTGAGGTACATCCTCGGCTCACGGAACGAGGAATTCGGCAAGGAATGGTGGGAAGGCTGGGAGGCGTGGTTCCGTTGGGTCGACAGGGCTGTAGTGTGCTTTTTTATTGCAGAAGTATGTCTCCGAATTTTAGCAGAGAGGGGTGACTTCTTACGCGGACCTAACAAGGCGTGGAACATATTTGAGGCATTGATCGTGACCGGGAGCATCTTGGACATGGTGGACCCCAAACGTTTTGTGGGAGCTTCAACGTTCCGCGTGTTTCGCATCCTGCGAGTCGTGCGCATCATCAAGCTCTTTAGTTTCCTGAGCCACCTGCGACTGATGTTATTCTCCATGGTGTCGTGTTTGATCCCCCTGGTGTGGGCTTTGGTACTGCTGTTTCTGCTGATGTATTGTTTCGCGATCTGGCTACTTCAGTCAATCGCCCAGAATCAGAATGTCCTGGGGAAGGAGACCCTCCCAGATCAGGCTGTGGAGGACGTGCTGCAGGAATATTGGGACGGCATATTCTTGAGCATGCGCACCTTGATCTACTCCGTCACTGGCAGCCTCCTCCTGCTCCTGCTATCATTCCTCGTTTTCGTTCGCTGCCTATTCCTCTCCCTCTTTCTCTCCGTCTTCAGCCTACCCTCTCTCTTTTTCTGATTCACCTCCCCCTCGGTGGCCTTGACTGGGGAGATGTCGCCGCGCCCTTCTGGACGATGGGTCCGGTGTATGGGCTGAGTTACCTTGTCTTTGTCACGTCCATGCTGCTCGGGCTACTGAATGTCATGGTCGGTGTGTTCGTTCAGGAGAGCGCTAATGTGCTCCTGCTGGACCGGGAGCTCGTTCTTGACCGGGGTGTCGAGTCTGGGCAGGCCTCAAGACAATTGCTGGCCGAGCTCTTCCTTTTGCTCGACGCCGACCAGAATGGTTACCTCACTGAGGAAGAGATCATGAAGGGCCTCGAGGATGACCGCATCAAGGCCTTCTTCAAGCATATCGGGGTCGACATGACTACGAAAGCCCACCACATGTTTGCGCTGATCGACACTGAGCGCGAGGGCTACATCTCCATGACGCAGTTCGTGGACGGCTGTCTGCAGTTCCAGGGGGGCGCGCGGCCAATAGACGTGGCCGCGCTGGGCAGGCAGATCGAGGTGCATCTGATGAGGCTCGGGGGGGGTGCAGCGCAACGCAGAAGTGCGCTACCGTTTCGGCCGTGGTCCGCTCCTCCTCGCCCTGCGCTGCCGTGGCCTGGGCAGGAGAGCTCACAGAGGGACCTCCTCCCCCGTACCGCCATCGTCGCTGCCCCCTCCTCGCTCCTCCCCTCCTGCCCTCCTGGGGGGATGCAACGCACAAGTGCGCAATCATTTCGGCCGTGATCCGTTCCTCCTCTGCTGCCATGGCCTGGACAGGAGAGCTTGCAGAGAGACCACCTCCTCTCCCCCATACCGCCATCGCCGCTCCCCCCTCCTCGCTCCTCCCCTCCTCTCCTCCTCCTCGCTCCCCCCTCCTCTCTTCCCCATCCTCGCTCCCCCCTCCTCGCTCCTCCCCTCCTGCTTCTCCGCGTGCGTCCTCGCCCCTCCCCTCTCTGCTCCTCGCCCCCGCTCCAGACACGAAGAGCGGGGAGTGGACGTTCCCCTGTGTACGCACGATCTTCGCGTGACGTGGACCCCAGACCGACCGGTCTCTCACACCAGGCGCATCGTTCCAAAAGGGGCCTCGCCCTCCAGGATCGAGAGAGCTGCCATCTCTTGCCCGGCGGAGAGCGGCGGGAGCCCCCCCCAAAAAAATATCCCGGCAAAGCAACCTAACAGCGATGTGTAGGAGCATATCTGGAAGCATCCCCCTTAAGATTCAGATGAGAAAACAGTTGTAGAGTTCTGCTGTTCTCGCAGTCGTAGTCGCATTCGCGATGACAGTCGCAGTGGCCTGCATTAGCCTCAGCCTCAGCCTCAGCCTGCCTCAGCATCAGCCTCAGCCTCAGCTTCAGCCTGCCTCAGCCTCAGCCTCAGCCTGCTCCTGCATCAGCCTCAGTCTGCCTGCAGCCTCGGCCTCAGCCTCAGCCTGCCTCAGCCTGAGCCTGCCTCAGCCTCAGCCTCAGCCTCAGCCTGCCTCAGCCTCAGCCTCAGCCTCAGCCTCAGCCTCAGCCTCAGCCTCAGCCTCAGCCTGCTTCAGCCTCAGCCTCAGTCTGCCTTCAGCCTCGGCCTCAGCCTCAGCCTGCCTCAGCCTCAGCCTGCCTCAGCCTCAGCCTCAGCCTCAGCCTGCCTCCTCAGCCTGCCTCAGCCTCAGCCTCAGCCTGCCTCAGCCTCAGCCTCAGCCTGCTTCAGCCTCAGCCTCAGTCTGCCTTCAGCCTCGGCCTCAGCCTCAGCCTGCCTCAGCCTCAGCCTGCATCAGCCTCAGCCTCAGCCTCAGCCTGCTCAGCATCAGCCTGCCTCAGCCTCAGCCTCAGCCTGCCTCAGCCTCAGCCTCAGCCTGCTTCAGCCTCAGCCTCAGTCTGCCTTCAGCCTCGGCCTCAGCCTCAGGCTGCCTCAGCCTCAGCCTGCATCAGCCTCAGCCTCAGCCTCAGCCTGCCTCAGCATCAGCCTGCCTCAGCCTCAGCCTCAGCCTGCCTCTGCCTCAGCCTCAGCCTCAATCTGCCTTCAGCCTCGGCTTCAGTCTCAGCCTGCCTCTGCCTCAGCCTGCATCAGCCTCAGCCTCAGCCTGCCTCAGCCTCAGCCTCAGCCTCAGCCTCAGCCTCAGCCTCAGCCTGCTTCAGCCTCAGCCTCAGTCTGCCTCAGCCTCGGCCTCAGCCTCAGCCTGCATCAGCCTCAGCCTCCTCAGCCTGCCTCAGCATCAGCCTGCCTCAGCCTCAGCCTCAGCCTGCCTCAGCCTCAGCCTCAGCCTGCTTCAGCCTCAGCCTCAGTCTGCCTTCAGTCTCGGCCTCAGCCTCAGCCTGCCTCAGCCTCAGCCTGCATCAGCCTCAGCCTCAGCCTCAGCCTGCCTCAGCCTCAGCCTGCATCAGCCTCAGCCTGCCTCAGCCTCAGCCTCAGCCTGCATCAGCCTCAGCCTCAGTCTGCCTTCAGCCTCGGCCTCAGCCTCAGCCTGCCTCAGCCTGCCTCAGCCTCAGCATCAGCCTGCCTCAGCATTCAAAATGTGGCCAGGGAATGGAATTCTGGGAACTCGAAGAACACGAAGTGGCCTACAGTTTGCTCCGGGCATTTAAAATCATGCCCAGGAATGGAGCTCTGGGAAGTCCAAGAGCACGAAGTGGCCTACAGTTGGCTCCAGGCATCCAAAATGTGGGCCGGGAATGGAGTTCTGGGAACTCGAAGACCACGAAGTGGCCTACAGTTGGCTCCGGGCATCCAAAATGTGGCCCGGGAATGGAGTTCTGGGAACTCGAAGACCACGAAGTGGCCTACAGTTGGCTCCGGGCATCCAAAATGTACGCCGGGAATGGAGTTCTGGGAACTCGAAGACCACGAAGTGGCCTACAGCTGGCTCCGGGCATCCAAAATGTACGCCGGGAATGGAGTTCTAGCAGCGCCAAGAGCGATTTTGCGAGGATGTCCCATCCGATTTGGGCTTCGGCGGCAGCCGCCCCGGGTCCCGCCCCGACCTCCCTGAGGAGTCATGATGCTCTCTTTTGAGACCACTAGAAACCTATCAGTCTTCGCTGTTAGGTAAAAACGAAGAAAACAAGCAAACAAATATCCCGGCAAAGCAACCTAACAGCGATGTGTAGGAGCATATATGGAAGCATTCCCCTTACGATTCATATGAGAATCCAGTTGTAGAATTCTGCTGTTCTCGCAGTCGTAGTTGCATTCGCGATGACAGTCGCAGTGGCAACGGCAGTCACAGCCACAGCCTCAGCCTCAGCCTGCCTCAACCTCAGCCTGCCTCAGCCTCAGCCTCAGCCTGCCTCGGCCTCAGCCTGCGTCAGCCTCAGCCTCGGCCTGCCTCAGCCTCAGCCTCGGCGTCAGCCTCAGGCTGCCTCAGCCTCAGCCCTCAGCCTCAGCCTGCATCAGCCTCAGCCTCAGCCTCAGCCTGCCTCAGCATCAGCCTGCCTCAGCCTCAGCCTCAGCCTGCCTCAGCCTCAGCCTCAGCCTGCTTCAGCCTCAGCCTCAGTCTGCCTTCAGCCTCGGCCTCAGCCTCAGCCTGCCTCAGCCTCACCATCAGCCTGCCTCAGCATTCAAAATGTGGCCCGGGAATGGAGTTCTGGGAACTCGAAGACCACGAAGTGGCCTACAGTTGGCTCCGGGCATTCAAAATCACAGTGGAGTTCTGGGAACTCGAGCACGAAGTGGCCTACAGTTGGCTCCGGGCATTCAAAATGTGGCCCGGGAATGGAGTTCTGGGAACTCGAAGAGCACGAAGTGGCCTACAGTTGGCTCCGGGCATCCAAAATGTGGCCCGGGAATGGAGTTCTGTGAAGTCGAAGAGCACGAAGTGGCCTACAGTTGGCTCCGGGCATTCAAAATGTGGCCCGGGAATGGAGTTCTGGGAGCGCCAAGAGCGATTTTGCGAGGATGTCCAAAGCGATTTCGGCTTCGGCGGCAGCCGCCCCGGGTCCCGCCCCGACCCCCTTGTGGAGTCATCTGCTGCTCTCTTTTGAGACCACTAGAAACCTATCAGCAAAAGCTGTTAGGTAAAAAAGGAAGTAAACAGTCGCCCCCCAAGAGATGACAACTTTGGTGGGCTCAATGGTTCCTGGAACCCGCCGGGCATTTCTCCGACGGCCCCAGGGAGTTGACTCAATTCTTTCCCCATTTCCACTCCCTGACGGGGGAGGGAGGGGTACGGGGCGGGGGTAGGGAGGGGTGCGGGGGAGGGGTCCTGGGTCATGCACAGTTGTGCTCTAGAGCTCGGACCTTTTTATTTTCGCTCGTCGTCGTCCCCCTGGTCCGGTCCTGGCCCTGGACCCAACCTCCCCCCCTGGTCCTGGCCCCAGCCCCCCGCGCCCCGCTGGCCCTGGCCCTGGACCCAGCCTCCCCCCCCCTGGCCCTGGCCCCAGTCCCCCTCGCCCTTTACTTTCGTTCGTCGTCGTCCCTGGTCTGGTCCTGGCCCTGGACCCAACCTCCCCCCTGGTCCTGGCCCCAGCCCCCCGCGCCCCGCTGGTCCTGGCCCTGGACCCAGCCTCCCCCCCCCTGGCCCTGGCCCCAGTCCCCCTCGCCCTTTACTTTCGTTCGTCGTCGTCCCTGGTCTGGTCCTGGCCCTGGACCCAACCTCCCCCCTGGTCCTGGCCCCAGCCCCCCTCGCCCGCTGGTCCTGGCCCTGGACCCAGCCTCCCCCTCCCCGGCCCCGGCCCCAGTCCCCCTCGCCCTGGACCCTTGACCCCTCCTGGCCCTGGCCCCAGACCCCCTCGCCCTGGACCATTTATTTTCGGTCGTCGTCGTCCCTGGTCCGGTCCTGGCCCTGGACCCAACCTCCCCCCCTGGTCCTGGCCCCAGACCCCCGCGCCCCGCTGGCCCTGGCCCTGCCTGGACCCACGACGCTGCTATTCTTTGTTCGGTTTTCCCTACCTAGGCTCTGCCTAGAAGGGTTCTTACCCTGTGAGCTTAAAGGGCTGGGCAGCCGGGCGGTTCCCCCGGCATCCGCCCCGCCGTTCCCCCAGTTACGTCTCCTCAGCTTAGCGTTGCTTATCTCATCTTAGCTCAGATTATTGTATATTAGCTTAGCTTAGCTTCATCTTAGCTCAGGTTTATATTAGCTTAGCTTACCTTCATCTTAGCTTCGCTGAGCTTGAACACAGCAGAGCACAGCATAGCATAGCAGAGCGTAGCATAGCATAGCGCAGCACTGCATATCATAGCATAGCCCAGCATAGCATAGCATAGCGCAGCATAGCATAGCATGGCATGGCATGGCATAGCATAGCATAGCAACTAATGCTGGTTTCCTAGGGGCTCCAACTTCTAGGTAGGGTCGCACTGGGGTAATTAGATTTCCTTGAAACTGGCGACGACGACGACGACAACGACAGCGTCTCACATATGCCGAAGGGTCGGTGGAGTATCCCCACGGCGTGATTGTCAGCGGCACTGGGTTATGAAGAGGATCGAATTTGAATATGAATGGCTGGATACGAGGGAGATTGATTGATAATGAGTTTGAGTATGATTGATCAAGTATGAGCGGGTATGAGTGTGAGTCTGTTCGAACAGAGTGTCCC